TCAAGCTGGAGATCTCTTCTTGCAGATCCCTTATTGTCATGGATGAAGATACATTGAGCTCCTGGAGATTCTTGTTTTCTTTTTTGACATTCAAGATCTCGTCTTCCAATTTTTTATTATCAAGCTTTAATTCTGTGGACAAAGATCTTATGTCCTCTTGAAGTTGGGCATGCAATTGTTGCAGGGTTTGGAAGGCAGTTTCGGCCTCAATGAAGCGTAAACGCTCTTCCTGTATGCATGTCCATAGTCTTCCCAGTTCCTGTTGCTTCTCAGCAAGTTCTTGACTTTGGTCAACCGTCTTCTGAGTCAAAGTTTCAACCTTGGATTGAAAAGCTTGATTCGATTTTTCTAACACTTTACAATGCTCTTCGGCATCCTTCAATTTGGCAGCGCCATTGTAAATCTCTGAGCTGAGCCGTTGTGCTTCCTCCTCAACAGAAGAGAGCTTAGCACCCAGACTGGATATGGTCTCCAAGCATTTTTGGTACTGGATCGCTGCCAATTCCTTCTCCTGACTCAATTCAGAAATGGCTTGTTTCAAAGTTTCAACCTCACTTTCTGCTCTTTCTGATCTTTCCTTAAATTTTATAGAATCTTCCTCTGCACATTGTAATTTACTCTCAAGCTTAGCTATCGTCTCCAAAGACTGCATGTACTGGTCAAGAGCATTGTCCTTTTCAGTGGCTATCTTCGCAAGAACATCTTTCAATGATTGGGCTTCCAGTTCAGCTTCAATAGCTCTTTGACTAAGCACCACGGTGTCCTCATGGGAACGAGCAAGGCTACTCTCCAAATCAGAAATCTTCTCCAAACAATGTCTGTATTCCAGAAGCTTAGCCTCCTTTTCAGTTTCTAATTTAGAGAGCTCATCCTTTAAGGTTTTAACTTCTGCTTCAGCTTTGCTAGCTTTCTCGCCAAGCCTTCTAGATTCTTCTTCCGCACAAGAGATTCTTGAATTCAGCTCCGACAACTTCTCTAAAGCCTGCTGGTACTGAATCCTGCCTGCTTCTTTCTCGGCATCAACTTGGGCCTGCTGGGTCACCTGATCCAAATCGGAGTGCGATTTGTCTTCAAAACTGTTGGCCTCATTGCTTTGCAAGCTTTGTTCTTTCTCCCCTGACTCGTGAAAAATTAGACCTTTTCTCACCTTCCCATCACCAAACTTTGCATTGCCCCCAAAGAGATTGTTGAGCTGCTTCAATCCCAGCCCTTTTGGTACAGAATTTGAATCCCCTATGGATGTTCCATTTCTCTTAGAACCAGAGTCTTGCAGTTCATCAGATTCAAAAAGAGAACGCACGGGAGTTGAGTTGGGTGTTTGAGGATCTGTAGCACTACTAAGGGGTGAATCATACTCAACAAAACCACCCATAGGGACTTGGTTTGGAAAAGCTTCTGCCATGGTTTTGTGAGCATGATGGATCACGCCTGTCGCATGATCATACCTTTCGGCCAATGCACGGTATGCTCTATAAAACTCTTCTACAAGTTTCATCAACTCCGGACGTTTCTTGTAGTACATCTCTGCTCTTCTTGCAAAAGAATCAGCATCTTCTTCGATAAGTTTGATCATAGCTTTCACTTTAGCATCCATATCTGATTAATGGAATAAAATAAAGTTCACACAAGAGTCAAAAGTGAGGAAAGAACAATATATATTCCTTACTGTTTCAATGAATATTTTGAACAACTTGATAATAACCTAAAACTGTAGGCGAATTTGGCATAAAGATTTTTGGAGATAATACAGCTTACTCATTTTGCACTGTTAGTTATTGCCCATTGCCTGGCTGAAAAGGCTATTTATTCTGTTTGACAAACAGCATATTGGAAGAGCTTAATGGATCCAAAAAGATGTTAAAAAAAACTTCCCCAAGCTTTTCTCCAAAGAGTTTATAGCTTTTTCTCTTTTTAAAAGCTTTTTCTACCAGAGAGCTTTAGGTTTTGGTCAGTTATTAGCTAGTCTCTATAGGCCAAAACAAGGCCTTAACAGAAAAATGCACACGTAAATCACAAGGGACAATGCAAAAAGAAACATTAAGCAAATATGAAGTACTTGTATATGCAACTATATAACTGCCTAAGGAAATAGGCAATGCATCTACATAAAGCAGGGCTTTAAATATTGGCATAAAATCTGCATAGGCGCTAGCAAAAACTTCAAACCCGGCTTTCTTTATGGGTTGAGCAAGGCAGCCTAGGAAGTAAGAACCCGCCAGGGCTCGCTAGGCATTTATAGCTTCTCACAGGTGACTTTAACCAGCCTTCTATTGGTGAAAACCCTACTTTTTTCGTACTTCTGTAAAAATATTTCATTTATCCCAAACAAAGAATCATGTTTGTCATAATGAAATTCAGTACTACAAACATGATTCTTCTTTTTGAGATGAAGGTTGTAATAATCATAAGTTTCGATTTTATATAGGTACTCCTTGTGTCCCATAATGTTCTCCCCGCTTTGACTTGGGACATTCATTTAGAAGTAAATTGTATGGTCGAGGTTCCTTTAGTAAGGAGAGAAACATTATAAAACACATCATTCTTTTTTTAAACGGAAATGGGAACAAAATATTGGAGAACCCAGAAAAAAACATGGGAAGAAAATTTGTGGGAGGGGTATTTCTTAGATGAAGTATTTTAAGGGAATGGAACTTAATCTGCAGCCACTAGACGCTTGGAGATCGTCTGACTCCTAAGAGATTGTTTGGTTAGGGGATTTTGGAAGAGAGGTGGAAGATTGATTTTTGTGTTACCAATTTATCTCTATTGATTAGTCACAGTATTATATCAGAAAATAACTGCACCTTTAGTCAAATAATGTATATTTTAAATAGTATAATACTTCATCTTCACTCCCTTTCCAACCATGAGCAAAATAATAGGGAGTAAAATAAAGGCCCCCCTTCCCCTTCCCTTCAAATCCCCAACGAAACAAGCCCTAAGCGGTTTCTTCGACTATGATCGAGGAATAATACCTGTGAGATTCTCCTGCAGCCATTTCGAGTTTTTGGGGCTAATGTGGCTGTCCCACCACCAAGAATACATTCTTCTAGAATCAGCATGAGACAATTTCGCCATTCTTCAAGCTCAAATCTCAATAAATGCGCAAAACCGCCTCAATATTCCAGGAAAAGTAAACCGGCACGCAGCTTCTATCAACTCAGAAGTAGTTGAACAAGAACTTCTGGTCACCCAATATGAGACTTGCAGTTGACTCAATTATAGACTTCTCCGCCCTTACACCTAACCAACAAAGAACAACGATTCAATAGATAGAACTTGAAAGCATATGAACTAAACAATAAAATGTTGCAGGGAAAGCAAAGTACCTCAAAACTGATTGAAGATCAATATCCAAGTCCAAGAAACTATAAATAGGTACAATAACAGCTACCTTCCGAAAGGTTTTTGAAAAAAATGACCTTCCAGAACACTGAAACAAGTAAAAGATCAAAAATCCCAGATCAGATCTGTCTTAATTACTGCAAATCAAAACGCTAAAGCTGCTAAACATAATAAAGGGATCTTTTCCCCACTTTTTTTTTCTCTCTTTTGACAAACTTTGTGCATGACAAATCAACTGTACGGCTTAAATCTGGGAAATCAATGCAATCAATAGGAGGTGATCAGCCATGATCATCAGAATCATGATCACAAATAAGGCCAATCAAAAGATGACAGAAAATTAATATTAAAAAAACATATCTTTGATGCTTCTAATGCATACACGCACAAGAAAACAAACAACTCCTCAAATTTGTGAAACAAGAAAAAAAATCCCAAAAAGATGAAATCTTGAGAACCAGAAACTGACCAGAAAATAAAAAGGAAAACAAAAATGGATCGAGTGACTTCAATTTTGCCACCAAGAAAAACGCCCACCAAAGCTTTTGCCTTTGATCAACCCATTGCTGTTGGACCCTTCTCTCTCTTCTCTGTCTATGGAGTTTGCTTGGGATTATTGCTTTTTGGCAGCGGGTGCGCTGGCTTTTTGCCTCAGTATGTGTCAGCTTTGGAAAAAGTGTCAAAGTCGAAATAATGTGGAGAGGGGAGGGGCACTCCCAGAAAAAGACAATTAATCGAATATTTAGGTGTCTGTCTTTTCCTCTTCCCTCCATTTTCTTTGATTTTCTTGATGTTGTTTTTGCTGTCTTCGTTGGTTAATTGGGGATTAAGAAAGATTTACGCGAATAATACGACCCTGGAAGACGTGGAAGTGACGAGATTGCCCCTTCACTGTGAGGGTCTCCGACTCCCAAGAAATTTGACTGGCGGCTAAATATGGCTGCGCTCGTTTATTAAACGAGTATACGGAGTAATTAACATTTAATAATGTACTATGCGGAGTTTATTGTAATTTCAAACCTTTTATGATTCCAAATCTATAAACTACGTATTTTTCTGCTATCAAATCTATATTTTTAGAATTTATATATATCGAAAGCAATTGGACTTAGAACTCAGTTACAAATTCACATATTTTGATACTTCCAAATAGTAGAATTAGAATTTCAATCACACATTCTAATTTTATGTCTCTGTGTGCCTATAGAATCTTATAGTTTGAATTTTAAGTGATATAAGAAATTTGCTCAAAATAGAAAACGTATTATTAATATTTATTTAGAAGTATGTAAATCACCCCTACATTTTAATAACAGCCAAGGTTTATAAAAGTCAAAGGTACACCTTTAATTTGTGTCATAGTTTTGGTACCTTTACGAAGTGTGTGGAGTTTGTCCCGAAGTTGATAAACATGAGCGGTGGACACAGAGTTGTACCGTGCGGCCAAAGCATCCCAGAGGGCAGCAGATGTGGTGAAGCCGCGAGCATGTTTGTGAACGGAGGGGCTGATGACCGCTAGGAGGCAGGCGCGAATCTGTGTGTCAACGATGGTCCAGGAGGTATACTCTGGATTAGGGACGGTTTTATCGTTTTTGGAGATAGTTGGCGCCGGGGCTGCTTCATGACCATCAATCCATCCAAGGAGGAGATTAGCTGAAAGAGCTGTCTGGACATTGAGAGACCATGCCGGATAATTTGTTTCGGTGAGTTTTTCTGGGATTAAGTTGTGGAGACTCCGAAGCAAAAGTTTTACTCCGGAGGGTAAGGACGCCAAAGGATCCGACGGGGCTGCCNTCCCTCCATCTCTGAACGTGATAAAGTTATTTGGTATAGTATTTCTTACACTAGCAAATATTTGACTAAATGGTGAACTCTTCTTTCAGGTTCGCTTGTGGGACTATGTCTCTGGTTCTCTTCTAGACACATGTCTTGTTGGAGCACAGGTAGCGTTTTTCCATTTGCCTCCTATAAAGAACCATAGCTCTCACACCATTATTCACTTCTCCGGATATAACTTAGGCAGGAGCTGCACTGTCAAATGGAGGTGAAGAAGATTTTGTTCCTGCCATAACTGATATATGTGCCACTCCGGATGGATCACTAATTGCAGTAGCTGTTCAGAGGTAGTAAAAGCATCTTTAAACCTTCAACTCTCCTTCATCCTCTTCATGTTCTGTTTGGTAATTCCATCTTGGCCTTTAGCTTGCCAGGAGTTATGCTGTTGACCTGTGACCTTTCCATGACAAGTCTCGCTCTTTTCAAAGTACCCATCCAAATCCCTACCATTCATTCGTTCTTTGCTCTCTCTCTCTGATGTCCTCGTATTATTGCAATATATTTATCTGTTTTTTTCCCCATTTCCAGGTTGTCCCCATTGTTGGTTCGGAAACCTTCATCCCAACGAGCTTGGGGACTGCCACGTCAGCAGATGTGTTATGGCTGGTCATGGGCGTGTCGGGTCTGAACGGTTCTTCTGAATCGACCGAAGGATCATTGGTACGCGTGAGGGTTTTATCCGGTTTCAAGAAGAGTCTTGAGGAAGAAACATCCCTTCTTGAAGATAAAGATGTGCCCGGAGGAGAAGAAATGCTCCGGAAACTGCAAGGGGATCTGTGTGTCAAAACGGAGGCCTTCTTGACCGCCGCGGAAGCAGTGAAGGCCGCGATGAGGAATCTTTTCATCAAGAAACAGTACTCTGCCGATACCCGGGAGTTCAGAAAGAGGGGCCGGAACGACAGAAAAGGAAAGAAGTAATGGTTTTAATAAGGTTGTCCGGCGGTCTNTCAAGAAGAGTCTTGAGGAAGAAACATCCCTTCTTGAAGATAAAGATGTGCCCGGAGGAGAAGAAATGCTCCGGAAACTGCAAGGGGATCTGTGTGTCAAAACGGAGGCCTTCTTGACCGCCGCGGAAGCAGTGAAGGCCGCGATGAGGAATCTTTTCATCAAGAAACAGTACTCTGCCGATACCCGGGAGTTCAGAAAGAGGGGCCGGAACGACAGAAAAGGAAAGAAGTAATGGTTTTAATAAGGTTGTCCGGCGGTCTGCTTTATCATGAAGCCAGACTTTTAAGGTAGTACAATGATGAGTTCATTTATAGCATTTTTTTCTAAATTTTAATGGGGTTGTTTGATGTGTCATACACACACACGCATATATAAATATACTCCTTCGGTCCCATAGAGTAGAAATTAAGGGAAGGATAATTTTGTGTTGACTTTCCAAAAATACCCTTGATGTGATTGGTAAAAGTATGATGTAATGTGTAGATTATTAGAAAAAAAGTATGATATGATAGGTAGGGTTTGAAAAAGTAAGGGGTAAAAGAAGTTTTTTAATAGAAATTGGTAAAGGATGGTGGGACGCAATATTTTTGAAACGTATAAACCTTTTTGGGACGGAGGGAGTATAAGTTTTAATATTGAAAAAAACTTCCAATAAAGCGGAGCATGTTTGAATAATGTATTTATTTTATGAAACTCTACATTAGTTTAAACAAAAACACATTATTTATACAGATATTTAGGAATTTTAATTCAAAGTGTTTACTTTGATTTTTGGTCATATTAAAAATTGATTTATTTTGAATTAAAAGTCAATTTATTTTTGAATAAAAATTGGTTTATTTTAATTAGGTTATTTTTAATTCATTAGGAGATCTTAATGTTAAGTTTTATTAAACATTAAATACATGAAATGTTTACCACTTTTAAATTGAAAATATATTTATTTTTGAATTAAAAAATTACCAATTTAAATTCCAAACTTAATTATCGTATAAGAATTCTAAAGTTTACCGATTATTTAAATGATGCAATTATAAATTTAAAATCAGTTTATTTTGAATTAAAATTACCAATTTTAAATTAAATAGTCTTAATGAAAATTTTGAAATAAAAATCCTTTACTATAATATTTTACGACATTTGGCGAGTCTACTTGACGTTTTTTAAATGAGTCATCCGCCACTTATTTATCATTTTCATGATTTGGTAATTTAAATGGTATTAATAATTGCAATTTAATTATTTTGAAATAATTAAAAAGTATAGAATACAAAAAAATATGATTTCAAACGAAAGAGTTAAAAATTACATGGATAACTTTATTTTCAAAAAAGAAAAAAAATATTGTCACATTTAAAAAATCACATTCATTTTACAGTTAAGCTTTACTTCAGTTTTAATAATACTTTAAATAAGTTTCATATCTTTACATATAGTAATTGAGAGCTAAACTCATAGAATTTTAAAATATGACACGTCTAAATGACAATTGGGATAAATAGTAATAACCTGGTTCGCTAACTCGTTGGTTCTGGTTACGCGAGTTGTGGTGTTACACCAATTCTTCTCATTGAGAGTTGGGTTTGCTAAGAAACCGGGATCTTAGTGGTTGAAGTCTTGGGCGAGGAGTCCGAGCGGTTGAATTTTTGTGTAGGGTACATATACGAGCGTTTGAAGTCTTGGAGTGCAGTATCTCCGAACAAACGTTGTAGAAACTCGTGTGACCCGAGTTCTCAAGTTGTATTGTTTTGTTGAGCATCTTAAGCTTAACGAATTTAGTAGGACCTTCGAGAGAGTCTCCTGAGGAACTGGACTAGTCACAAATTGTGGTGAACCAGTATAAAAATGGTGTGTTCTTTCCTTACGCTTTTAATTTCGCACTTTACTTTATCCCTGCATTTTTTATTTCATAAAAATTTATCAACATTCTCGTGTCTTACTGTTCACCCTCTTCTAGTGAAGGCACTTATCCCAATAGAATTGAGTTGGAGAAAACATCAGAACTTTAAATTAAAAAATAATAATTATAATATTACATTGTGAAACATAAAAATGACCCGAAATGTGTAAAAAACACATTCGAATAACGAGAATATTACTAATTAATACGAGTAATTAAAATAGATGTTGGATTATATATAGTATAATATTTATTTCAACATTTTTATTGTGTTCCTACATTTTCCAACTTGTTTCAATTCTTTTCAATCCTTTCTAGCTTTTTTCATTTCGTTCTAGTTTTTTTCTAGTTTCTTCCGATTTTTAATTTTTTTTCAGTACTTTCTAATTTTTTTCCAGTTTCTTCCAACATCAACTCTTTTTTTTCAACCCTAAAGAATAGAGTCTTGTTTCATCTATCTCAAAATAAAGACTTCTCTTTAAAAAAATTGTGTCATTTTTTTGTACTTATGTCACTTTCATCACATAATTTCATCTTTATTAGGGTAATAATTACGTTAATTTATTTGTGAAACTTTTTTGTTGAACAAAAGAAATATGAACGTGTAAACTTCCATGAGTTTTTTAATCACAATATCTTAGAAATGTCAATGATTGGATTTGGATAGAATTACATGCAACATGTATTACTCAATTCATCCGTCATCTGCAGAAGAAACAAGTGAAACTGGTGCATAATAGGTGAAACTAATAATACTTCTAAATCATGAATAACATTTCATTAGACTATTGTAAATGGAAAAAATAGTAATGATAATAACACATTTATTTTATATAACAATAAAGTAATTTAAGTTTTTATAAAATCATAAACGCGATTAAAAATAACAATTCATTCACATTCACAAAATTTTCATATGTTAACCAAGATAACCTTTAATTGTTTTTTCAACAATTCTTGATCTCACACATTTATTTTTTACTCTTCACTGGTTTGCATTGAATGAAAATATATAAAACTTGATTATTTTATTAATAAAAATAATAATGAAATATTAAGTGATGGACAAACTATCACTATCCAACTTGGTTGTTGTACTACGGCTTTATTTTTGATTTTCTTGTTTTACTGTCTTCTCCTTCCATTAGCTAAAGAATATTCCCAAAGATTAAACAAATGTTGCTAATAATGTTGATAATATCTATTTTATGTAACAAAAAATGGAAATCTAGTAAAATTATGGAGCATTAATCTAGTTTTTTTACCCTGTATTATTTGAAAGGACACATGTGTGGCTTTTTTACACATGGTACGCAGTATTACTTTACAACTATATGGATAAATTTGGTGATAAATAGAATAACGAGTGAGAAAACAATCTTCACATCCCTCCACCATTTCATTATCGTAGACATGCATCATCCATGTAAAATACTCCGTCCCAAATTATAATGCATGTTTACTATTCACAGGGTCAAACTTCATTTACTTTCTTTCTCTATTTTCGTTAGCAATTTGATAAAATAAAATATTATTATCACAACTAGTTTTGTAGATCTTTTGATGTAGTATTTTAATATGTAATTTTTATTTTTTAATTCTATACCATTTGTCATATAAAATAATTTAAAAATAATTTCAGTCAAACATCGTAAACTGAAACAGGCGTTATAAAATGGGACGAAGGTAGTATGTAATATCCATTTTTGATCAAAATTTTATCCGTGACAACAGTAAAAAAAGGAATGATATTATCGAAACGGGTAGAATTTGCAACCTTACAAATTGTTCATTGACAAATTGAAATTGAAGTGAAATGAAAAGATAAGCAAAGATTGTGTGGCGAGAAATAGAAACAATAACTAAAAAAGAATTAATATTGCGCTCCTAAAAGCTCCTTAAATTGGGAGGTAAATAAAGGAAAACGTTTGCCTGTGTTGACTATTCAATTACTCCAAAATTAAATTACATGTTTACTATTCAAATAATCAAAACTTTATTTACTTTCTTCCTTTCAATAGTCATTAAATAAAATAAAATAGTCATGATACCACTAGTTTTCTAAATTTTTTAATGTAATATTTTAACATAAAATTTTTATTTTTTAGTTCTACACTATTATTTACGGAGTATATAAAATGATATGAAAATAATTTAAATCAAACATCATAAACAGAAAAAAGGAAATATAAATGAAGACGGATGGAGTGCTAAAATAGATACCGGAGAACAGTTGTAACCATAGTAATTATCCAACCAATGCGAAATGGCAAACAAGAAGAATACCTAATGAAAAGTAAAGATTCTTATCGCACTTTAACTTCTTAAGAACGAAATTCATAAAACAAACAAGCACACGATCAACAGAGTAAACATGGCCAGTCAAAGCCTCATAGCCTAATTTAGTGCAGAGTTCATGAGGCCCATCATGCTGAATAGACTCCACTCCACCATTTTTATATGAGGAGCTTCTCAATGGCATCCTACAAGCCGCAAAAGATATAAAATTGAGTTCAATACAGGAATATGAAAAGAAAAAGGTGATGGACAGTTTACACAGCAATAGATAAATGTACGCCACCTTAAGTTGTTGGGTCTGAGTTTTCAACTGGCTTCCCTCGTTGCTTGTCACTGAGCAAGCAATCACAGCTCGAGTAACACCACATGCTCGGCCAAGAGCTTGTTTGGATGGAACAAACACATAGGGAACATTCTGAGAGCAAGGCACACGATACAGATAAGAAAAGGTTGTAGTCGAAATAAAATAGTTTTGTAACTGTACCCATTACCCATTGCATGCTATTTTTGAAGTAAAACCACTCAAACACAAAAGGCACAATAAAGACTATGTACTACAAATGTACAGTCCACTTGTTGTATGGCTTTGTTTAATAGACATGAAAATACTACCACTATGGCACTATCTGAATAAATTTGTTGGAGTCTTTCAATCATTGAAATTGCTTTCTCATGAGAAAACACACACAACATTGCACCCTTAAAACCTTGGTGCTACTGAATGATTTTTATGATATCCAATTTAAGCTTCCTCATTGACATTCAATACGAAATATATTCTCATAATCGGGTGCTTCAACATCACATAAATTAGCAGGTCAGAGGACACTCAAATTCAACTATATCAGACGAGAGCACAGCACAAGAATATAAAGTTCTTGCTAAGAGAAGAAAGAAATCGCAATTATTACCTTATCTTCGGCTAATAATGGAAGGTGAAGAAGAATTTCGAGTGGCTCGGCATCAGCAGCCATGACAACAAACTCAGAAATTCCCCTGTTTAGTGTCTTTGTCGCTGAAACAGGTTAGAACACATTTCCCTTACGATTTAATACATAATCATGTCAAACAAGAGCAAAAACAAACAAATATGTAGGTATTGACAACAAAAAACAACCTTCATTAGCACCCTTTTTGAGCTGCTTAAAGTTGGCAGCTTGCTGGACCAAATCCAAAATTGTTATGGTGAGTTGTGCATCAGCCAGTGGGTACGCTTTAGGGTTCACACTTTCTGCGGCCTACACAATACATGCATAGATATTAGATAATACATGTCTGGGAAGCAAAATATAATCATCGAGAAACATAAATTAAAGTATGATCTTGAGAAATGGTACCATCATTGCGGACAACAAGATTTATTCGGAGACAGATGGCCTGTATAATAAATAAATAAATAGAATGGAATATGAGCATCAAATTCAGCTCCATATAACAGAATTATTTCAAAAATGCTGCAAGTTCACCCACAATAATATTCTGGTTAATTTCATAATCTTTTCCTTTGCAGCTAAATACATGAAAGAATTTATTTACTGGTGCAAATTGCAGTCTCAAAGTGAGATGGCAAATAGTTAAATGGGCTCTATCTTGTACTCTGTATAAAATCATGCATGCTGCTAGTCACTTTCCAACATATAACTAAAAGATTTCATGACTTGGTTTAATTTTGAATCTTAAGTCTTTTTTATATAAGGTAAAGTTGCAGATGTGGCCTAACTACAGCAATAATTAGATCATTTTTGGTTCAGAATAACAAATTTAATGTTTGTTGCTATTTATCACCACCAAAATAATAAACATATGAAAACAGCTCATCCTCCCACTACATAAATTCTACTAAAATTGTTTACTTTCTTCACACTGTATTTCTGCATAATACTCTTGTGAACCTGATAAAATGCATATTTTTCAAATGTAATAAATAAAAGCAAGTACTATAAACTTACTAACATTTTATTATAAATTTTGCTTTAAAAGTACGCAAAGCAATATTCTTATAAAAACATTAAAATAGGTAAAGTCATAAATTTGAAAAAAAATAAAACAAAACAAAGCCAAAACTTATCTGAGTCATGAAAATAGGATCTTTAGAGGGGAGTGTGTCATACACGTCTATGAAAATATATAAGTGTAGTGCTTTTGGATGCGAAAACTCTGAACATATATACAGTGTATAATACTTCATTAATGATAAAAAACATAGGGAAATTGTGCTTCATGCATAGATTGAATGAATAGAAACAATACATAATTTTGTTATCATATGAGGGTATTTGTTAGGTCTGAGAGTTAAAGCATATAAGACCAAGTGTTGAGAAAAAGAAATACTTGAAGAAGACAAAAGAAAGAAAGGACTGAATTGTGAGTCAAGTATGAAGGGGGGGCGAAAACGAATGTATGCTTGTTATGCCATATTATAATTATTGTAGGAAGAGCAATTTAGGGTTGGGGCGTTAAGCTAAATGTAGACTGTTGCTGCATAGTTAATCGGCCCAATTGGAAGAAAGGACCAATCCATCCAAATATAGATTCGGGCTTTCTTCCATTATAAAATTGGTCCGGTTAGCTATGCAGCCCCAATCTACATTTGGACCGACGCCCCAACCCTAAATTGCTATTCCTACAATAATTTTAATATAAATTATAATATGGCGTAGCAAGCATACATTCAATTCCGCCCTGCTTCAGACTCGACTCACAATTCAATCCATTCTTCCATACATCTTCTTTCGGTATTTCTTTTTCTCAACACTTGGTCTTATATGCTTAAACTATCAGACCTATAAAATACCCTTATACAAACGCACACACTAAAGGTCACTGTTAGGAGTACTAGAGTTTTCCTGGATTAAATCTACCCAAAACCACAAAGTGTGCCCTCTTAGTAGTTTCAAATAGATTTAAATAGACTTTCAAAACTCATTTCATGTTCTTATACTGACTTTAGCACATTAAAATAAATATATATGCTTCAATTGTAAAAATGGTTTCAAAGGTTACACATCAAACTGAGTTATCAAATTACTCACTCATTTCAAGGACAGACATCAACAAAACATTCACCCAAATAGATTTAAAACAATATACAACCATTTCAGATTCACATTCAAGCCAAATTGTCAATACAAATAGTTTTAAGGAGGCAGCAAAGTCGGGATTTAGATCAAACAGCAGTAATATTCAAAGTTTCGCAAATTTAGATCTACTTAAACGATTTACAACATGTATACGAAGGATTACAGATTAATACCCTTGTAGACCTATCAGCTTCTTCTCGTAGACCTTGATTCTCCTCCCTCTCGCTCTCTTGTTTTCTGCCTAAATGTAAGCCGGCGAATGAATTATATCAGACCTGGCGTATGGGTAAGGGTATACCCTTACCCTAAAATATTTGGGCCACACAAATTAAATATGGAATTGGGCTCAATGTATGGCACTTGGGTATAATTAAATTTCAGCCCAGTTGTTCCATTTAGCACAATACTAATTTAAAACTAACCAGAAAATAATTAATTTGAATCAATATTTAAAGAGCCTTTTTAACTCCTAAACATCATAAGCATTAAATATAGACATTTGGACAGATTTATATTTTAAATACCAGAATTGATCCATAAAAATGGTAAACTGCACAGATAACGTGGATAAAAATATATATAATTATGAACCTAACAAATACCCTCACATCAGGACTTGAAAGACTCTTGTTTCAACCCGTTTATGATAATTTTAGGAGCAAAGTACACTTGACAACGTATACTTATCAGTATTTATTTTCAAAGTTAACAAACTATTTCCAAAATCCAACACCTAAGTTAATTGATTAAAAATATTTGGGTTATTAACCTCCACTTTCAGATTTCTTTCAACTTGAAATAATGTCAATCTAAGGCTTCTTAAGAACTTAAGAAATAAAAATATGCTCTTAACAACTAATTTTCATTAAGTCAACATAACTTGACCTTTTAAGAAAATATTTTTCAAAGGTAGTTAAACTTATAGCAAAATAAATGTGAAATTCATCACTGCTCAATTCATTTTTTATCAACTCAAAGCTTTGAAACACTACACAATTCAAATGTTACTGTTGCGGATTATGCACATAACAAAGGCTCAACAGTTATATTAGAACATCAGCCATGGTCAGAACAACATTGTCCAAATAATTAAGTGCGACATATGGTGGGTTCAAGCCCAAAACAGTTCATGTTATTAAGTCAGAATATCAGTCCAGGTCCCCGTCTGTCTGCCGCCCCGATATCCCAATCGTCTGGGTCAGGCTCCATTATCGTCACGCCTACCTGCGTATAGCAAAAACAACGATTAATCTAACGATTAATAAAAATATGTAGTAAAATACTTCTTCCGTACCCAATTAGATTTCATTTTTTTTCTTTTCTCACAATAACTTTTGTTTGTTTACGCGATTTCATTTAATATTTGATAAAATTAGTTACTGCACCATGTTAATTTTAAGGCACCATGTTAATGACCCATTTAACTACCGTTTGGGCTTTTCGGCTTTTCCCATGACCCGGTGATTCTTGTGCGAATCGCCAAATCCCTAGACTGCACAATTGGCTTCGAGCGTTTGGGAGGACTTAAACCCCTGAAAAAGAACCGAACCCGAATTTCTACTTGCAGCACAAATGGAGGAAACGAACATGGATGAGAACGAGCAGAGCCGGGAAGCGGAGGTCGCTCCGGCTCTAATCGCTGTTCACCCGAGTCAAGATTCCGTTGCCGTCTCCGTCGGGTCGGACCTCCGCGTCTTCAATCTCCTCCGGTGAGCCACATTCCTCATTCTTTCCGACCATCTCCCCCACTCTAAAAAAATCATTTTTATTACTTTTATGACGAATGCGAGAAGTGGGAATTGATGGAAAACGATCATCTTTTGCTCAATAATTACCGACAGATGTCATTCAGAGTCATTGTCGGACGATTCTGGGGGGAACATGCACAGGGACTCAATCAGGGCGATTCGATATGGCGCGGAAGGGAAGCTATTTGTGTCTGCAGGAGATGACAAGCTTGTTAAGATTTGGAATACTGATTCTTGGCGATGTATTCATACTATGTAAGCTTTTCAGATTAAGGATTCTTCAAAATTGCTGTGGAGTATATCCCAAGCAGAAAGCTATTGCCTTTCCTTCATGCTTTTCAGATCACTGTAATTTTTACCTTTAATTTTAGCTTTGAGTAGTAACTAGTGACATTAAATTTATTTTCTTTATTTTTGGCACTTAATTACTGGTCATGCTATCATCAGTTTGTAGAAAATGAATTTGGGTATCTTATTTTATTGTTACATGTGATTTGGTAGTAATTGAACTAGACAATTCAATCAAAAAAATCCTTTAAAATTTGGCGTTTCGTATTTAGTTGATTAGTACTCTATGTATGTATCTTACCATTTATGGTGTTAACAGTTTATCAGAGAAAAGAGTCAGTGCTGTTGCCATAAGCAAGGATGGTTGCTTTGTTTGCTTTGCAGACAAATTTGGAGCGGTTTATGCAACAGATTTAGATAACGTTCATGAAAAGCGAGATATTCCTGACAAGAAAGCAGTTTTAATTCTTTCACACTATTGCAGCATTATTACTAGCCTGGTATTGTTTTTCTTTTACCTGCTCTTGAAAAAGGTAATGTTAGTATGCTATTCTCAGTATTTGTTTTCCAAGCAGGAGTTTTCACCAGATGGACGCTTTATCATTAGTGCTGACCGTGACTTCAAAATCCGTGTAATGTAACTTTCTGTACTCGTTTAGCTTCATAGGTTTTGGAATATCTGAAGTCTCTTATAGCCCATAAATTAACAGGTCACTTTATTCCCCAAAAACCCATTAAATGGAGCTCATGAGATCCAGAGCTTTTGCCTCGGTCATACCGAGTAAGTATATCTCTAATTGTTCACTCACCACTATGTTTTAGAGGATGGTAATAAATTACTTTCTCTGTCCCAACATAACGTCCCCGTTTGCTTTTTCATGGAGTTCAGAAAAAGTTGAAATTTTGTGGTTTTATTTTGGGATGTCTCCTAAACGAAAGTGGAAACTTTATTTTGGGATGGATAAAGTATTCTGTACGAGCTAATACTCGTAATAAGTAATGTCATGCCATATCTAAGTTTTTGTTTGGGGCTTCATTATTGACAGGTTTGTCTCCTGCCTTGCCTTTGTTTGCAATCAAGATTGTCCACAAGGCTTTTTAGTTTCTGGGGGCGGTGATTCAACAGTGAGTGAAATTCATAAAACTGATTTATTGCAGCTTTAAATGTTAAGGGCCATCCAGGGTGCACCAAGTGCCCCCTTCCTTGTGGGGTAGGGGAAGAGGACACCATATATATGCAGTCTTTCCAAGACAATGTTTTTTCCTATAGGCTGTTTCCACAATTGTTCGAACCCGAGTCCTTTTGGCCACCATAGGAGCAACTCAACTGTTGGGCTCAGGCTCACGGCTCTCCCTCCATCTCTGAACGTGATAAAGTTATTTGGTATAGTATTTCTTACACTAGCAAATATTTGACTAAATGGTGAACTCTTCTTTCAGGTTCGCTTGTGGGACTATGTCTCTGGTTCTCTTCTAGACACATGTCTTGTTGGAGCACAGGTAGCGTTTTTCCATTTGCCTCCTATAAAGAACCATAGCTCTCACACCATTATTCACTTCTCCGGATATAACTTAGGCAGGAGCTGCACTGTCAAATGGAGGTGAAGAAGATTTTGTTCCTGCCATAACTGATATATGTGCCACTCCGGATGGATCACTAATTGCAGTAGCTGTTCAGAGGTAGTAAAAGCATCTTTAAACCTTCAACTCTCCTTCATCCTCTTCATGTTCTGTTTGGTAATTCCATCTTGGCCTTTAGCTTGCCAGGAGTTATGCTGTTGACCTGTGACCTTTCCATGACAAGTCTCGCTCTTTTCAAAGTACCCATCCAAATCCCTACCNCGTTCTTTGCTCTCTCTCTCTGATGTCCTCGTATTATTGCAATATATTTATCTGTTTTTTTCCCCATTTCCAGGTTGTCCCCATTGTTGGTTCGGAAACCTTCATCCCAACGAGCTTGGGGACTGCCACGTCAGCAGATGTGTTATGGCTGGTCATGGGCGTGTCGGGTCTGAACGGTTCTTCTGAATCGACCGAAGGATCATTGGTACGCGTGAGGGTTTTATCCGGTTTCAAGAAGAGTCTTGAGGAAGAAACATCCCTTCTTGAAGATAAAGATGTGCCCGGAGGAGAAGAAATGCTCCGGAAACTGCAAGGGGATCTGTGTGTCAAAACGGAGGCCTTCTTGACCGCCGCGGAAGCAGTGAAGGCCGCGATGAGGAATCTTTTCATCAAGAAACAGTACTCTGCCGATACCCGGGAGTTCAGAAAGAGGGGCCGGAACGACAGAAAAGGAAAGAAGTAATGGTTTTAATAAGGTTGTCCGGCGGTCTTCTCGTAAGGTGCTGTTGTAAAACTAGGTTGTTTAGTGTGTGTTAATTTTATTGGTTTTTGGTTATTCATGAGGCCAGACTTTTAAGCTAGTACCGGATTCCAACTATAGCATTTTTGAATTTTAATGGGGTTGTTTGATGTGTTATTTGGAACTGTTGTTTCGGTAAGAAATTCTTCTTGAAATGAATCAACTAATGCTCTCCACTCTTCAGGCTATACCAGTTTTAAAAATTTTCTGTTTTTATTTTTTTCATAGAGTATATATATATATATATATATATATATATATATATATATATATATATATATATATATATATATAGACACACGGGGATATAAGAGAATGTTATTGAGTAGTGACATAGTGTAACATGCATACAAGTGTACATAACATTTGTACACAAACACACCACCATATCCGTTGACTAAATAGACCAAATATACATTCATATCCTTGCCGGAGTTTTGCATTCGTGGGAAGCATCCTCGAAGCTTCTCTTTTGGTCCGTCTTTATCATGCCCTCAAAAGAACATGTCCATAACTAGTGCTTACAACATTTTTATTTTTTTTAAAATTTGGAGACTCTGAAGTATTGTTCTGACTATGGCCACTGTGATATGGTCTGATCTGATTTTAATAAAAAAAATAATAAATAATAAAAATGAATGGAAATGAAACATGATCTACATCTGCATTTGAATTGAGGCGTGGGTGTTTTTTGGATCCTCAATGCCGTCTTTGAGGCAAATTGGACCAAGACGTTGGATTCCAGAGAATATATATGTAGTTAGGCTATTTGGTATGAGGGACGACGACGTCTGCGTTGCTGAATGACGATGATGATATTCTGACCCATCTGAAGCTGAGACGGCCCATCGTGAGGGATAAGGTGAAGAGGACATCATCTTCGATGGCGTCCGGACTCGAAGGGTCAACTATCGACAATCTCGTGTTCACCATGGCCGCCTTCAACCAAGTGTAGTCGGACAAGATTCGCCTGAAAAGTAAAATCACCGACGAGGCACTTTGATGGTGAGTGTTGATCATTTGCTACATCTAGAGCGCGCGGCTGTTCTAAAAATGAAGGAAAAAACTAGCCAGAAATGACTTGGAAGTGCGACCGAGAACTTGGATAGTGATTTTTTATTTTTTTAATCAAGTAGTTGCATTTTTTAATCGAGTATTTGTATTCGTCATTGATAGGCTATCGCTCTTCTTTTCTTTTTTGCATTATGTCAAGCAAATTTTTAATTTTAATTTTAATGAAATATTTATTTAATGTTTTAATCTAATTAATTTTGAAAGAAGGAAAAAATTGTGTGTGGTGAGTGTGATCCACAACCTTGTTCAGTGATTAACTGTGTTGATAAAAAAGAAAAATGAATTTGATGTTGAGTGACGGGATGTGATAGGCGTAATGATTAGAACGAATTTAGGATGTAAATGAAAAAAATCGAAAGAAATGGATTCTTTTGACAATGTATACGGTAGTCACATGCTGCACGTAGGTAGCTTATGTTCTCACGTAAGTACGGATTTTTTTAGTAGGAATAAATAAAAAGTTTACATGTCATTAAAATTTAAGTACATCATGTAAATAGTAAGCATAAAAGCTTTTTTTTTGTATGAGAAAGAGTATAACCAAAGTTTTATAATATAAAATGTAACAAGATTATATTATTTTTTTCAAATGCGTAATGAAAAGAAGTAAATAATATAATGTTGCAAAGTTTGATCTTGGATGTGAATAGTGAATATTAGCTGAGTAATTTTTTCGGGGCGTTGAGAGTAAGTAATTCTTCATTCATCTCAGAACTATCTCTCACTTTCTTATTTGGATGATCCTTTTAAATATGTGATTGTCTAAAACAACGAAATAAAAAAGTAAAGTTACAACAAACTGCGTCGCTAGTTCTTTTTTAATAATTAAGCTAAATCTTTTGGAAATCATATTCTTTAGTCTAAGAGCATAGGCAATGACAAGTAAAATATGAAATGTCATACGGTGACGTGAAATATTTTAACCAATCAAAATCAATCCAGTTACTGTATGGCAAGTGAGTGGAGTCGCATTCCTTCCAATGACAAGTCATTGCTTTTGTGAGTTTTTACACTTTTTAAACATATTTTAATTATTAAAAATTATTTTACTTATCTTTTTTCATAAAAATAGATGTACTCCTTTTTTTTAAAAAAACCTTTTTTTATTACAAAAAACAACAAATTAAAAAAAAGAGTGTCTTAGCTTGTAGCTGCCATGCCAATCATGGCAAAACCTCTTAGCCACGCGAGGCAAATTCATTATTGGGATGATGTGGCAGGGCGTGGCAAGGAGTTGTCTTGCCACTTGCCACTGTCGGTGCTCTAATAAGGGTCATAGCAAAACTATGCATGATCCGTTGTACTTAAGTAAACAACTTTACAGCCTCAGTCGCGATGAAACTAAAGATGTCGAATACAAAATGGTTTAAACATGTGTTGGTTGTTAAGACATGTTCTCTTGCGTTTGAACACTTCACATAAAGTAGCTATAAACATAGCCTTACCTAGCGTAAAAATACTAGTCCCCAATCCCATAAGGGAATAAACTACGATTAAATTCACACAAATGTGTTTCCTACCCATCTGACCAATGACCCATGTGTGAGATGGTCTGATCTATCTGTGAATCTACCTTCTAAGGGATGAGTCAAGAAACTTACAGGTACTTTTTTCTAAATAGAAGTCTGGCACACCAAAATACATCAAAGAGGACATCTCTGATCTCACCAAATCGTGCTTGTATGTACTTAGATCTTCTTAACTCCTCAAAATGTCTTGCATGCTCACCGAATGGATCTAAATATGCCTTGCGCAAAAACGAGGCATATTTCATCAACCACAAACATGGAATCAGATACGAACCTTAATTGATAAGAATCCTATCGGGATATGGAAGAACTTCGAACATCTCCGAGTTCTAGAAAGTTAATTGAGACAAAGAAGAGAAGAAGCTGCAAGGAAGATTTGAGCGACCAAGAAGGAATAGGATTTTCGATATTGTTCTTGAATGATTCATTCATAATGATAAAAGAGTTACCAGAGTACAATATACAGAGATGGGGAACACCCTAATTCACCTAATGAGTTCGGATCCATGCTAAAACTCTAAACCCTATTACCTATAAAATACTAAATAATAAATATTAATTAACTACTCCGTTCAGTCTAAAAAAACCTTTCTTGTTTCTGACTTTTTTTGATCAAATAGTGATACTCTTTGATCATAAATTAAACATAATCTAAACAAATAAATAATAAAAAAAACTTGATGTATCAAAACTATATCTTAAAATGAACCCAATTTTATTGAACTTATATTGTAATTAAACATAATTTTCTCACAATTTATAGTTAAAGAATGTCACTGTTTGATCTTAAAGATCAAAACAGGAAAGATTTTTAGTAACGGAGGGAATAATAATTAATTAAACATGTTAATTAGCATACATGTCAGAATCATAAGTCTATACTCCAGTGATATATGTTGGCCAATCCTATCTATCATCTATGGAGATGGCAAAAAGAAAGCATTAACTTGTGGTGCTCGTAAATATTCAAAAATTACAATTGAGATTCTTCTAATTTTTTGTTATAGTAATACTTTAAAAAAAAAGATTCCGTAGTGTATATCAAATATTATATTTTTTTCCTATGCACAATACACAATTTTAGATGTTTCAATTCATTAAAAATCTTTGTAGAAGAATATATTCCGTAAAATCATGGGATTAATGGTATAAATTAGCACAAGGATTATTATTTACAACTATTACTTTATCCGCTAAAATATTCTCAAAACGTCAAAAATTTTGTGATAAAATTTTATTTATTTTGTTTTTAAATTGTTTTTCGGAAAATAATTATGATGGATCATACCTGGAAGACTTAAGAAATGCTCACTAGGGCTGAGCAACGGTCAGTTTCAGTTTGAAACCGAAAAAACCGACTTTTTTAACATGGTTGAAAACCGACCGAATCGAACCGACCATATATTAAAACCGACCGAACCGAAACCGAAAACCACCCATACATCAAAAAAACCGACCGAAAAACCGAATTCTAATTACTTTTATTTTGATTTTTTAATATAAATTCAAGACACTAATTCGGCAAGGTAGATTGATATGTATTAAATTAGTTTAGATTAAGCTTTTTCTATTCTCATTGATTTAGTAAGGTAGATTATTTTTTATTTGAATATACACTATCCATTTCATATAAAAATTGCACTTTTCTTATTAATATGTTCAAAACATTAACAAATAAGTTTTTTAAAAGTAAAACATTATAGTTTTCCATGAAAGAGTAAAAAGAAAGCATGTGTGTTAATCAAATATTTCTTATTTTAAAAAATAAAAAATAAATTAAAATAAAATCATCGGTTATTCGGTCGGTTCGGTTTTTCTTACAAAAAAACCGAAACCGACCGAAAAACCGAAAAAACCGAAAATAATTTTTACATGAAAACCGAAACCGAACTTCCGGTTATTTCGGTTTTCGGTTTCGCGGTCGGTCCGGTTAATTTGCTCACCTTGCCAAAAGAAAATGTTAACCCAATCATAGTTAAGCACGGAGTGGGTATCCGGCCAAAGGCCCCGAGCCCCAGAGCCATCGATTAGCAAAAGTTTCCTTAGTCGGGTTTCAGATTAATAACGGGTCGGATCAAATGCGTACTTATTACACGAAACTCTACCTATACGGCTATACATCTAAATTTGTGTTCTTTAATTATGAAACTATCGTGACAAAATAAAATTTCTATATATATATACTCCCTACGTCCTATAATGATCTTCCCAGAGCACTATTCTAACTTTACGGGAATTTATATTTATTTGTGTTTTTTCATGGCCTATATGATAAAATAAAATATTCTTGTCACCACTTGTTTTGTTGAACTTTTGATGTAGTTTTTAAATATGTATGTTTTATTTTTTATTTCTATACCAATATTTAAATAAAATAGATTGAAAAAATTTGGGATTTTTCTTCGTTTTGCGAACTGAGAAGATCACTATAGGACGGAGGGAGTATATATATATATATATATATATATATATATATATATATATATATATATATATATTAAAATTCTAGGTCAATTTTTAGTTATAAGTTTTATAAAATAATTTTAGCCAAACACTATAAACTAAAATAAGAGCTTTTTTCAAAATTGAGTGCAAATAAATAATGTTTGTTAAACATTTTATTTATATGATATTCTTCTAAATATTCCGTGATGGGTATAACCCACTGAAACCACCCGGTAGGTTCGCAGGCACCCGGGAGGTAACAAGGTTTGACCAAGTGTCATCAAACTGACTAGGTGGATGTCGGAGGGTCAGACCAGTATGATTGTAACTTGATCCGCAGAAGGCTTGAAGACTAGCTGAGTATCTTCATTGATTGGGCACCAGCACAAGTGGATCTGACAACGTAAGTGGATGATTTGATGCTAACAGTAGTCATAAATAGTGTATTTTCTGTTATTATAAATAAGAACGAAAGCTTCTTAAAGAAAGAAAGTAATAAATAATCTCCACGGTTCCTACTTTGTAATCGGTCCTCATATTATATAAGAAAAAAAGCAATAAATAATCCGCTTTCCTTGACTTAATATTATGTACTCCATCACTTCGTACTTGTAAATAATCTAAAATATTTACTTTCAAATATATAAAATCATTATAATATTATTTATTATCATATTCTCATCCTATAACATTTAAAATATTTTTTCATATTAAATTTATTTTCTTGAAAAATGGATCAATAAAAAAATATCAAATTACAAAGTAGTACCTGAGAAATTAGTAGAGGATTTAACATCTTTTAAGTTTTAACATTGTTTTAACGGTCGTTGATCGATGGACTGAACTTAAAATTATTTTTAATTAATGAATACTTAGTTAATTTTGGAAATTTACTTCAAAAGGTAAAAAAGGGAAGAACACTCCCTTATCCGAAGAGAATTAGGACTATAATCTCCAATAATCTCGGTGTTAAAGAAATTTTACAGTGTGGAAGTCACGGGGGTAAGAAGAGGTAAAAACCGGGGGCTTCCACTTGCATCATCACCTTCTTCTTCTTCTCGGGTTAAATTCAATCAATCCCCTGAAAGACCGCCCTGCAATCCTCCCTCGTCTTCCATTTATATACCCACCAACCTCATCTCTCCCTTCTTCGACCTCCCAGAAATTGATTAATTCCTCCTAACACACAGTGAATTCCGATTATCTGGAATTAGGGTTTTGTCTCTTCTCTCTGAAATCGCCGAGGTTTCTTTTCTCTTTTTGCAGCCATGAAGGTCCATCCCATGCCGAAGAAGAGAAACATCACGGTCCGGTACGACATCGCGTCGGCTCTTTCTCAGTCGGAGACGGTGGTGGGGTTCCGGCAGAAGAAGCTCCGGCGACTTCCCCACATATTCGCCAAGGTCCTCGAGCTGCCCTTCCACTCCGACGCCGACGTCTCGATTGAGGAGACCCACGATTCCTTCCGATTCGTCGTCCCGACCGACAACGTCGCCGGAGGGAACATCAGGGCCCACACCGTCCAGATCTACCCGGGCGTCACGAAGATCGTAATCCGCGGGGACAGCCTCGTAGACTTTCCCCTTGCGGAGCTGGAGCTCGACCTGTGGCGATTCCGCCTCCCGCCGTACACTCTGCCCGGCATGGCCAGCGCCGCTTTTAGTGACGGCGAACTGGTGGTCACCGTCCCTAAAGGACCGCACCAAGAAGAGGACGGCGACGATGAGCGGCTTGTATTTGTACAGTAATCCTTCAACAATCACTTATTTCTTTTTCAGCCCTTCTTAAGCTTCAATTGTGGCTCCAACCCCGGTAATGGAACCAAATATATTAATTAATTAATTAATTATATTATCATGGTTAAATGAAATGTGACTTCTCTTTAATTAATAATACCCAGTATTAAATATTAATCAATCAATACTCTATATAAAATATGCTCTATATGATGATCAATTTTCATAATTTCTGCTGTTTTTTTCATTCTTTTTTCCTTAATTGGATATTATCTGCAGAGTTTCCACTTGGAATCTTGAATTGCAGGTAAACTGAAAACTAGTTGCCAAACTTTGTGTTTTACATTTGTATATGAAATCTAACTACCCATTCCATTAAGGTTTTTTTTTGTTTTGTTATAGGATTTGGAAATTCATACAATTTGTGTGATTTTTGAGGTATGGAATGTTTAGTTGCAGGGTCATTTTAGACAAGTTGCCAAAGTATGAAATCACAAACTAGCATTGTCCAAGTTTGGATTGTCTTGGCTTATGTCACCAGAATTAGTAGCAGAATATACAATCTTAGAAAAATTAGTAGTTTAAATGCCATATCTCTTGAAGTTTTGGAAGCCTTAGCTTGAAAATATAAACTTTTGTTTGGTTAGAACTTAGAATGATTTCCCAACATGCATTCCAGATGCCTCTTCCAATTCATCCCTTAATATGGCTCTTCAAACTGCAACCTACACAAATTTCTTAACTTATTTGAAATTAAACCAACCACTAACATAGGGTCCGTATATCAACCGCATAACCGTTTAGCTTTAACGTTTTGAAAAAGTTATTTAACATTTTCATGTTGGTTCTTAACTCATTTTCTATGGCAAAATGTTATTATTCCTTACTTTGTTGCTTAATCCTCTTTTTATAACAAAGTTTCATTATTCCCTACTTTATATGCTATAGCTGCTATGATGTGTCTAGTAGAAATTTTGTTTTCCTTTTTTGGAAACAGAAACCTCATCCCTACTGTTCACGAGGAATGGTTGGACAGTTACTTCGTAAGAGGTAAATTGAGCTATATTCATAGTTTGACGAAGAGTGAGATCGATCCTTTTGGTGGTACGTATGAGTGCTCAATTAATTCTACTCGTAATATATATGATCGTCCTTCATTGTTGTTGCGGTGATATAGTTTTGTTTTCGAAAAATATATCACATGAAATTTATTGTTGGATTCTCCAACATTGCTCATGCTACAACATCTCTCTCTATCATATGGTTTGTTTAAAAGAAAGTGATGATCCATATACAATGGATCTCCTTCCTCGGGTCGTTTTCTCTGCACATCAGCTTCCAAATCTTGGCCCTTGGGTGGTTCTCAATTTTTAGTGTTAATAATAATAATAAATAATAAAAATAAAAATAATAACAATGACGTGTTTTAAATTGAGTAGGGGCAAAGCAACCTATTAATTACCTTTAAGCTTTAGAATCTCATTCCCTCTCTTTTCTTAATTGGGTTTTATCTTGATATGCTACGTAAACAATGATGTGGGAAAATGTAGATGTAAATTTGAGGACAAATAGATTAGAGTGTTTTTTTTTATTAAAATAAAAAAGCAAATTTTAATTTTATTTTGGTAGATGGGAGTTAACAAAGGACGTCCGGTCCCTATTTCATCGTTTAATCAAATGAATTGGGGTTTTTTGATCAGACAGACAGACAGACGTCTCTTGTTTCTGCCAATTGTTTGTATAGAATCAAAGAGAGACTGCACTATTTTGTCTGGTGTGTATTTTTTGGTGGGGATGTGAGATGTCATCTCAACAAAAACAAAAAACAATGGGTATTCTAATTTTGATATCACTTTGTAGATATTTAGAAAAAAGATGTGTCCCATCCCTCAGGGCCCCTCAGATCCGGCCGGACAGTTAATTAAAGGAAGTGAATTGGATTTTAATCTCGGGTCTTACTCTTTGGTTCTTGAAGAGTGGAGCTTGCAATTTATAGATATTTAGTACTCTTTGGTTTGGTGTCTAATTTTGACATCACTTCGTAGATGTTTAATTTGGTCCTTAAAAAAATCGTTACATGTCCAGTACGTAGAAGGAGCTATTACCCAAAATAGAACTCTTACATTACTGCTGCTCAGATTAAGGTGAACTTTGATCTTCTCCCACCTCTTGTTCATTGGTCTGTGTAATTGGATTGGGTGTGTGTGCTTTCACTCTCACCAGTCCACCTCCGCATGATAGTGCCACCCACCCATTAGTGCATTGGTAGTGGGTGCAACACCCATCGGTGTTAAGGCCGCTCGGGACCCGGGGGCGTTAAACACCTCCCGTGCTGCGTTTAACGGACATCATCATGTCTGCTTAAATGTTTAACGCAGAGAAAAGGGGAGGGAGTGAGCCGTTGGAGGCCCAAACGGCTATAATGCCGTTAGGTATCATTTAAAAAAAATTATTTTTTTAATACTATAAATACCCCTTATTTTTAACACAACAAACACACACAACCTATTATCATTCTCTCCATAATTCTTCCAAAATATATTCTATTTTTTAGTTCTCTCTAAAAAATATTCGAAAAATGAGATCATCATCATCTGACGCGTTGAAAAGAGAGCTCTCATTTTTCGTTGTTTCACGATGGGTTGTTGTCAAGGGTGGCTACTACAAAGAAATCGATGAACAAAAAAAACAAAGAAACCGCCAAGAAATCCGAAGTCGAGAGGTTCACAATGCACTAATGATAGATTTGATTGAAGATATTTTTAGTCGCTCGAATAATTACTAATTTCTTCGTAATGTAATGTAATTTTTATATTTTTATTTATGTTATTATTTAAATCTTATTTTATTAATGCAATTTTTTCTGAATGTATTTTTTATTTAATGAATTAATGTCGTTTAAATTTAATTAAATAATAAAATATTATTAATTTAATTTTAGAAGATAAGTATTAAAAATGTAAAAAAAATAGAAGTCTGAAGTCTCAATTTGAAGCTTCGGGGTTTCAAATCCATTTATAGTGAAATTTTGGTGAAAATTAAAGCAAATGTGGTAGAGAGAAGTTTGAAAACCTGATTTGAAGCCTTGGGGCTTCAAAACCAACAAGATAAAGCTACCAATCATTTGATCTTTATACTAATATATATATACATTATATTATGTGTTTAATTAAATTTCAAGTTCATCTAATTTCATATTGAAAAAATCAAATTGGATAAATAAATTATGATAGAGGGAGTGTTAGAAATATGAATGGAGGAAGAACGCTTCAAAGCATCATTAACATAGAACGAGAAGAATAACTTGATAGACTATAACAAATCACGTAAAACGCTTTCAGATCAAAGTTATTTCAGGATACTTGAAATACTTTAATTGTATAAGACTTTAATCAAGAACAAGCACTGAAAATCGTCCCTCAACCCATACCTACGAGACTCTATTTATAGAGTCAAAAATCGATGATTAGACATGAACATTCGCAAATGAGGCGAACGTTCGCGCGAAGAGATAATGTCTGAAAATGCGAAAGTTTCCTTAAGGAGATTGACGTTCACGCAAATGGGTTCTTGCGGTTTCATGGTTATTTTGGCGTTCATCCACACGTCCAAATCTTTTAATGTTTCGGATTCTGTTCACGAAAATCTGAACCTTAGACCCCGTCAGTGTCTGTCGCCTCATGGATCCCGCTACTCGGGGGCTGCCGCCCACGGACCCTGTTATGAATTTGTAATATCGTTGAACGAGTGCGTACTCCGTGCCTCCTAACTTGTTTGACAACGTCTATTCATATCCTTGTCTGATCTAAGTAAATTCAATCACACAAGATAACTGATGACACTAAAATCACGAATATGGAGAATATGTAATTGGAAATAGTAACGATAAAAAATTAATTGAAAAGAAAAATATACTCTATATGGGAAGAAGCTAGAAATTACCGTGGAATATAATTAAGATCGTTACACTACTAGAAACTGGGAGAGGTTTGAAGTGTTCCCTTCTTCTCTCAACACGTACGTTTCACCCTTCGCTTACATCATCTGATATGTCCTCCACCGCACCGCCGCCCACCGCTCCTCCCGCCCACCCACCCACACACACACACACATATATATATAAACCCATCTACCTAGTATACCCCTCTCTCACAACTCACAAACAATACTATTATTACTTCTCGTCAAATTGCTCGAGATTTGTCTAAGGCACACTAGATAGATATATAATATAATGAGCCAGGAACAACCAAGAAGGCCCGACAACGTCCTCCAGCAAGAGCCCATCAAATATGAAGACGTTTTCGACGTCTCCTCCGGCCACCTCGCCTCCAAGCCCATAACACCCCAAGATGCTGCCGCCATGCAGGCCGCCGAGAACGTCACCCTCGGCCACTGTCAGAAGGGCGGTCCTGCCGCGGTCATGCAATCTGCCGCCTCCCACAACGCCAGGTTTGCCGGGGTTAGTCCTGATGACGTCACTGACGTCATCAGAGATCCCGGCATCTCCATCTCCCAAACCAACATTGATGGCCGCCCCCTCATTGTGGAGGCCATTGGACCCGATGTAAGTACTCCTACTTAAAACAAAAAGAAATTTACTTAAATAGCACTAAAACATACACTAACTTTCTCTAACTAGCATCACATGTTTTTTTCTTCTAATGCAACACTTTTAGTCATTATCCATTAGTCATTATTCAAGTAAATGTTTGTCATTACAGTACGTTTTGAACATTATTAAGTGCTACCCAGAGTATTTAGAGAATAAAATGATATAAGTGCTATTTAGGGAAATATTTCGAATGCTATTTAGTGCAAATATTTCTAAAACAAATTAGTAACTAATTTTCTTATATTTTCATGGATCATTTGATTAGCTAAAATATTCTTGTCACGCTTTATTTTGTACTCCCACCATTTTCAAAAACACTTACTCCTCCATTTTTCCACTTTTAATAAAATATTTCCATTTTCTATTAAAAAACTTCTTTTACCTCTACTTTTTCTTGTACTACCTATCGTATCATACTTTTCATCTAATAATCTATCAATCACATCAAAATTATAAGGTTGTGGGGACATATGTTCGGGAAGATAATACAAGGGTGAGGAGAGAGAGGTCCCCAATGGGCCCACCGCAAGGTGTGGTAAGCGATAAAATCACCATCGGGGAAGCACTGGAGGCCACTGCTATATCCGCCGGTGACAAGCCGGTGGACCAGAGCGACGCCGCCGCGATTCAGGCGGCGGAGGCTAGAGCTACGGGTCTCGGAGAGATTTTGCCGGGCGGTATAGGAGCGGAAGCTCAACGCGCCGCCACAAGGAACGCCAGAATTACCAAGGATGAGTTCAAAACAAAACTTGGCGATGTTCTCACGGTATATATTTAGTGTCCATTTTTAATTTGTTACAAAATATTCACAAAGTTTAATTAGATCTCAATTGGGACCTTCCATTCCAATTCTGGTATTTGGTAGCACAAAATTTATGTGGATTTGAAATTGATATTGTAAAAAATGAAATGAAATTGACAAAATTCAATTCTATGAAATTGAATCCTATTGAATTTCAATTCAAATTTAATTCCAATTCCACTAATTCCTTATACCCTTAAATTAATTGACGAGGAATGTTGTATAATGTGTTCGAATATACTTGGAAGGATGCAAAGGAGAAGCTTGTGAACGATAAAGGTGTGACATTGGAGGACGCGGTGGGGGTGGTGGGTGCCGAAGCGAGGAACAAAGAAGGGCACACCACTCGTCCCGGTGGCGTGGCGGCTACCGTGGCGGCCGCCGCCGCTCTGAATCAAGAAACCGCTTTTAATGTTACCGTCTAAGTGAATGCTGGGTGAAAAATGTACTACTATCGTGTAACCAAGCCAAGCCTAGCCTAGCTTGTTATTATATATCTAAAAATAAAAATGATCGTAGTAAAAATATGCATGTATGTGTTAGTTGTTTTGAGATATTGTGTTAGTTGTTTTGCTTGTTTTATGATATGATGTTCAATGGAATTTTAATTTTGTATATTCTATTACGGAAAATTAAATATACACTTCATCTAACTCTAAAATATTTCTTCTTTTGATTTTTTCATCAACATATTTTGACCATAAATTATAAAAAAAATATATTATATATAATATAAATTCAATAATACAATTTGATCATCTTAAGAAAAAGATTTGATCTATCAATTTTTTATATCATTTATTTAAAGAAATATTTGAGTGTAGTATACATGGAGTATACACTTTATTTTGAAATTTTATAGCATCATAAATATACTAGTTCCGTCTTAGTGTATTTTAATAGTTTGACTTTTCTTTTCATTTCAAACTAAATAAATTTTAAATTTAATAAAATAAAAATGATAATGTACATTAATATTAAAAAGATTAACTTATTTTGGACTATCGAAGGTTTAATTCAAGGTGTTATTGTTCTTGATTCTCAATATTTGTCTAATTTAAATTTTTGCAGTTAGTCATTTTCAACTTAAGATCTATAATTAAATGAAATTTACATACAATCAATTTCAGCTTTTGATAAGTATGTCAATTTTTACCGCAAAAAGTCAAACTTAACAAAAATTAATAGAGAGGTATAGTAATATCTAGTAGAATTTGAGAGTAATTGATGATTAAAATTTATCTGGTCTAATAACAAAATTAAACTGTATAAAGATATTGGGATGGGGATAATATAAAATATAAAATAACTTCAATCAACTACTCCGTATTATTCTCCACAATATATATATATATATATATATATATATATATATATATATATATGACAATTAATTTATATGATGTCCATACTCCAGATTAGAGTGAGGGGCAGGGTCTAAATTATACCCGGGGAGTAAATCATAAAAGGCCCGTGTCAACAAGGCCCAGCCTTATTCTTTGAGCCAAGGTCCATGGATCAAGTCCGGATCCATAGTGCATTCCATTCATCAAATATATTTGGGAGTAGATTTTTTTGTGGTCCTCCTAAACACAACAATCAGATCGGTATCCATTTGATTTTTTTTGGTTCGAATGTGTTTCATAGATAAATAAACATTGTAATTTGATTCGTTTTAATTTTGGTTCCCGATGGTGTAAATATAGCGGGGTGGGTTAACCGGGTTTGACCTGGACACACTCGACCCGTAATATAAAACACACAACAAGAACACAAAGTATGACCTAGACCGGGTAAATCTCCTCAGTCCGAATTATATTTCTTACTCTATCTCAAGAGTGAACTTTAGTGAGAGAAAAATTGGATCCCCTCCTCTATCCGATATCATCATATTTATAGAGGAGGATTTGTGACCTTCCCCTGTTCATCCATGGACAAAATAGGAAGCTCGTGGGAAGGTCACTGTAGATAATGGGAACACTGTACAATCATAGAATTTAGCAACTATAGGCCAAGACATGTACTGTTCAATCAAAGACTAAAATGGATATTCTCAATCCAATCAACCCTGCAAAATGACAAACATCCCTTTCACTGTGTGCCTCGTGATGGATGAGCGGCGGGGTGTCCCTTTGACCTTTGACGTGGTTCACCATGCCTGAGATACTGGACCAATGTTTTTCAAGTGAGATGATATGACCGGTCACCTTCTCTCAAAGGTTACCCGGTCATTCTTTGTGCTCAACCAGTCTCTGGTCTTCTAGATTGTCCTTTGTAACATTAGGCGACATTTCGGCTAACGGCCAAAATGTGACCGGTCACTTTTTTAGTGGAAGTGACCGGTCAACTTTTGACCCGTCCCAATCGAAGAGTTAACCTCATTTGGTGATTGATAAAAGTGACCGGTCATACTTTGACATGTCCCTTTCGGTTGTCCGGGTCGGGTATAAGGATATACCCATCAAGAAGTCCTCCACTTACCGGCCTTGTGAGGAAGTCATCAAGGGCGGGAAGTATATTTATGTTGATCTATCACTTTTGAAATCATCAAGTCATTCTCATGACCTGTCCTTTCTTTGAAATCACCAAGTCATTCCCATGACCTGTCCTTCTTTGAAATCATCAAGTCATTCCCATGACCTGTCCTTCTTTGAAATCATCAAGTCATTTCAATGACCTGTCCTTCTTCTAAATTATCAAGTCATTCCCATGACCTATCCTTTTCTGAAATCATCAAGTCATTCCCATGACCTTTCCTTCTTTGAAATCATCAAGTCATTCTTCTAAATTATCAAGTCATTCCAATGACCTGTCCTTCTTCTAAATTATCAAGTCATTCCCATGACCTATCCTTCTCTGAAATCATCAAGTCGTTCCCATGACCTTTCCTTCTTTGAAATCATCAAGTCATTCTCATTGACCTGTCCTTCTTGTTGACCTGTCCTTTTAGACCCGTCACTTTTGTAATTATCAAACCTTTCTCTTTCAAGACCTGTCTTTCTCTGGATTGCCAAGCCTTTCTTTTTCAAGACCTGTCCTGTCCTTCTTTGAAATTGTCAATCCATTCCCATGACCTTTCCATGGAGACCTGCCCATTTCTTGGATTCATCGTCTTCATACCAGACCTGGCACTTTTGGATTTGTAGACTACGCTGCATGACCTGTCTGTTTGGATTTGTGGGAGTCCAAACGTTGAGCCTGGCCTTTTAGTTTTGGGTTTTCCCTCCAAAACCTTTCACCTTCCACCTTCAAAATTCAAATTTTAAAAAATTTTCCCCCCTAATCATTACCTCTTCCACGTGTCAAGCTGTCCTTCTCCCACCTGTCGCCTCGAGTTTCAAACCGCCTCCCTCTCCTATAAATACTCCTCCAACCCATCTCATTTCTTCACTTCTCTTCTTCGATCTTCAAGTTTTAACCGGTCTACTTTCTCTCTCTAGCCTTCTGCCAAGTAAGTTCTCCAGTCCTCCTAGTCTTTTATTTTTCATCTTCCCTTTTTTAACCGGCAACATAATGTCTTCTGATAGCCAAAACATCTCTGGCCAATCCTATGGATCTGGCTTTCAGCCCTCTTCCTCTTCCCACTCTGAATCTTCTTCTCCCCCTGTCACTCCTTTGATTCGCCGCCCCTCTCACCAGTCTAGCTCCCAGGCCCGGGAAATTATTGCCCAGGACCCTGTCCCTTTGAATCAATTGCCCGGTCGATTCAATCCCAAGGTCCTTAGCTGGGAGCAATGGGAGGAACGACTGGGATCCTTGGGCTTTCTAGCCCTTGATGTCAGACCGGTGTTCAAAGAATCTTCTAGGGTTACCAAAAAGGTTCTGGCAGAGGTCCGTACCATCCTTCCACCGGGCTACAAAGTCCTTTCCACAACCACCTGGCCCAACATCATTGAACCCCACCAGGGAACCCGGTTGGGTTTCCATATTGCGTCTCTAGAGGGAGGTATTATTTTTCCTCTCCGCCCCCTCCTTATTGAAATCTGTAAAAAGTTTCATATTTTGCCCGGTCAGCTTACTCCAAATGCTCACCGGTTCTTAAATTGTTTTGTTAATATCTGTGAAAATCTTAAAATCAACCCTTCCCTTGAGCTTTTCCTCCACATGTACGAAGTCCTGCCCGGGACTAGTAATTGCCCGGGCTTTGTTTATTTTCATTCTCGTAATAAGAGGAGTTTTGTGACCGGTCTTCCCCCTAGCCACAAAAGATGGAAGAAAAGATTTGTTTTTGTCGAATTCCCCCCTGACCAATTTCCTTTTTCTAACCCTGAGTGGGCTGACCGGGTTATAAAACCTGAAAGGGTTCATCTGGAGCCCACCAAAGATCTTGAGGACGCCTGCAAGAAACTTCTCAAGGGTGATCCTGTGACCGGGAAACCTTATGCCTATGGAGGCTGGGTATTCCGGCTATCTAATCCGGATGGGGGTGAATCTGCGACCCATGACGCAGAAGATGACCGGGCAAACTTCCCGGATGGTCATGCTGAGGCCAGTTCTCCTTGTCCAGGTTGATTATCCTCTCTTAAGCTTCTTAATTTCATTTTCTTTATTTATGTACAAGGCTCGAAAAATAACCGGTCATATGTTGCTTTGTTCTTTTTCAGACATGAACTTCAACAGGATGACCCCCATCATTGAGGACGACGACGATGATGTCCAAGTCCTCCACTCCAACCGGTCTCCTAATCGCAAACCTCCCTCCCCTCCTCAAAACCTTGGAGCTGAAGGGGCCTCAACTGCTCGGTGCTCTTCCTTTGACGATCTCATTCGAGATAAGCAGGTGAAGTCTCCATCAGCCCTCCATTTCTCCGAAGGTGACCGGGTTGAATCCAAGTCCAAGGAGGCCAACCATTCTTCTTCCCGTGCAAGAAGAAGAAGACCGGGTCGCTTGACTTGGAAGGGGAGTCGGTAGAAGAAGCCTTCCTTGCATTGACTAGAAGACTCCAAAAGGTATGCCATCTCTATTTCTTCGCCCGGTTTAACTATTAGCCCGGGCTCTGACTGACAAACTTTTTTCCAGGTTAGAGTCCTATCTGAAGAGGTTGGCCAGTCACTCATCGAGCCAACCAACCAGGTCTCCCAACTGAATCTCCTGCTTGACTCGGCTAAATCAGAAATAAATGACCTGGTCGAGAGGGAGAGAATGTTAGAAGTAGAGTTGAGGGCTGAGAGGGCTTTGCTGGAGGAGGAGAGGGCCAGATCTGCCCGGTTGGAGGAGGAAGGCAAGAGAAAGGTCGCTGAGCTTGAAGAGGCGTTGGCTCAAGCTGAAGAAACTGCCCGGTCCAAAGAAGAGGCCTTTCCTGACGATGCTGCGATTTGGGCCGCCTGCCACCACACTGAAGTCGCCCGGTCCATTCTCACCAATCCGGAGGATACCATGGATTTCTTCAAAGTCATGTATAAGGAACCGGAAGGGAAGAGAATGATAACAGACGTCGGGTCCTATGGGTTTCAGTGTGGCCAAAAGGAAGAGAGATCTCTTCTCTATGCCAGACTCCAGAGGAAGGACCCCTCTTTCGACCCGGCCAAGTTGAAGCTTCCAGCCCTATACAAGGAAGAGCCAGCTCCCCCCTTTCCCCAAGATTAGGTCAGGGTTTGATTTAAAAACACCTTTGAATTTTCCCAAGGCCTGGGGGATGTCCGGCCTACTGACTTGCGTAATATTATCTTTTGTTTGGTATGGTTTTCAATTTACCGGCTTGTTTCTTTTTTCAGTTTGCATGGTTTGATTCCTTTTTCTCGCTTGCTCAATACTTCTTGCATGGTTGTTTTCCTTGTTTGGTCCTTACTTGAAGTCGCATGGTCAGACTTGCCTTTTCTTGAACATGCTTGGTTTAACTTCCAAGTAGAAAACAATAACCGGCCTTATACCTCAGGAATCGTTTTAAAGAACGTCCAGGGCATCTCATGTCCTGGTCCTGAAAACGTCCCGGCCTCATTGGCTTGGTTGACGATTTTATTGAATATGCTTGATTCCAAGTCAAAAGAAGTAACCGGCTTTATCCTTTGTAGTTGTCCAGGTCACCTCATGTCCTGGTCTTTGGTTAACGCCTTAGAAACGTCTAGGTCTGGTAGGCTTTGTTGACAGCGTCCAGGTCAATTCCATCTCTTGAAAATGTCCAGGTCATGTTATGTCCTGGTCAAGTACAA